ATTGCTCATCTTGTTCTGTAGTACTGAAGTCAATCTCTCAAACCCCATTCCAGTGTCAACATGCTTTGCTGGAAGAGGTTTTAGAGAGCCATCGCTTTCCCTATTAAACTGTATAAGAGTAATGCATGTATCAGTGTGGAAAACCTTATTGCTGTAAAAGGCTTGAATGACATGCCAGCATAAAAGAAGTTAGGCAGATATAGTACTCTCTCCATTGCTCCAGATATATACTACAGACGAGCATACTCATGTCAGTAGGCTAACTTCCTGGATAGCTTTGAAATTTTAATAGTGTTTGACCGGATGCATATCAGATATGCTAATGAAAAAAATGGAGAGACTAACCATAAGATCGTACAATAAAGTGTACCTGAATGAAAACAAGGTTCCATATCTCAATACATGTCGGATCATCATTATTCACCAATGAAGCAGCATCACGATTGCCTACTCGGTCATAATGAATTTCAGTGCAAGGCCCACAAGGACCTGTATCACCCATCTCCCAGAAGTTGTCCTAAAAAGGGGGATAGTATCAATTAGAAAGACCATAGAACCTATTATTCACATTATCCCAGACTTTAGAAAAATAGAAGTAATATGTTTAAAATGTGCGCATAGAATAAGGCAATATAGAAAATAATTCTCTATTACATGGAAATATAGTTAACCATAATGATTTTCGTACAATATTTATGCAATGGAAACAAAAAAACTAAACCCAACTCTTTTGTTTCAATCAAATAAGTTGTTCCCTTCTTCAAATAAGACAAACATATTACTCTAGATCTCAACCATAAGCTTCAACACAATACAAACACATGTACAAAAACACAAAGGGGAAAAAAGACTCGAGGGAAAACTTACTTTGCAACCAAAAGGCAGTACACGTCCATGTGGCAGAAACTTGAGCCATAAATCTTTAGCTTCATTATCAGGAGGAAGACCAGCTTTTTCATCACCACCAAAGTAAGTGGCATAAATACGATCTATGGGCAGGCCATAAACCTACAGTTCCACAAACAAGTTTGAAAATTGGGGGAAAAAACACAAAAGCGACTCAGGATATCAAAAATACAAAAACCCAGCATTCCAAACCCAGACTGATCAAATCACTAACAAATTAGCTATATAAACTGAATATTATCCAAGGTACGGCAAACACACATTTATAAACTATTTATGTTTTGCAATGTCAAGAACAAATAAATACATAAAATATATACCTTAGTGAGGAGTTCCCAAGCCCACTCAATTGCCTCTTTCTTGAAATAGTCCCCAAAAGACCAGTTCCCTAACATTTCAAAGAAGGTATGGTGATAAGTGTCTTTTCCTACGTCATCCAGATCGTTATGCTTCCCGCCAGCTCGAATACATTTTTGAGTGTTGCACGCCCTGGTGAGCTTACTCATAGCAGTGTTCGGATCCACGGTACCCAAAAAGATCGGCTTGTACTGGTTCATACCTATCCAGATTCCAGACACCATTAAAGAAATTTGAATAAAAATATTTTCAACCTAAATTTAGCGAATTTCGACAGTATTATAAAAAAGAAACCCAGTATCACAGAGCTTAGAGTTAGAAGTTGCGAAATGATACTTCGTTATACGCAGTTCAACAAAACAACCATTCGGATAACAAATATATAGCAAAAACAAAGAGGAAATTTATAAAACAAACAAAAACAACAAGAAGAGGGCCGATTCGTCTGTTTAAAGTAGTAAAGGCAACTAAACTGAAAATCGAAGAAGATAAATTGTACCGGCATTAGCGAACAAGAGAGTGGGATCATTGTGAGGAACGACGGGGCTAGACTTCCAATTGACGTGATTTTTGCCTTCGAAGAACTTGATGAAGGTATCTCGCACCTTTTTCGCAGGCCACTCCATCTGCGGCGAATCAACGCCCGGCATCGTCGCGGATTTCCTGAGAGACGAAAAAGAATAAGGCGGGGGATTACCGGTTATGGCGGAGAGACAGGTGAAAACCCTGAATACCCTAAGTCGTGGCGCCGCCACTATATAAGGATAAGCAAGACCTATTATACTGTCACAGAGAAGAGAAAGGCCTTCATTCATATTTCAAACGTTACCCAAGAATTTATTTACACGCGCCAGAGTTATTTTTTACAATTTGAAAAATATATTAAATGCATACTGAAAAGTAAAATTGACAAAGATGAATTGTTGAATATACATATAATATTTTTTAAAAGGTGATTAATCAATTAAATTTTAAAATTAAATTTTTTTATAAATGTTTAATTATCAAATGAATATATTATAAATTATTTATTAAAATATGGCCTTTCAAAAAAATTGAAAAAAAAATCCTTTAACTGTGTTGTCAAAATCTATCACTAGCGTGACATTTTCTACTACTAAATTTTGTAGTGTATTAATCATATATCAATATCTATGGTTGGTCTACCTTGCTTAACTTACTCGTTAGAATATTCGACGTGAAATTGTGTAGTCAAAAAATTTAACTCGTATCACTTATCACGAGGTCATTATTCATTATTATCTTTCAAAATTAATATGCACAACATTACAGCTTTTAAGTTTCAGAATTTTTTTCCTTTATTGTAAATTTAATACTTTCACACAGGACTAACAAAGAGGTTGAGAGATTGTATTGGCAAACTAAGGACATGCTTCCCTACCAATTTATGTGAAGGAAAACTTGGTCTCCAGAATTCCTTCCATACAGAACTTGACAAATTTCATGCCTAAACAAACCAGTGAAACTCCTACTTTATCAGAAGCCCCCAGAATTCCTAATGCTATTAACATCTAAGAATCTGCCCTAACACCATCCGTAAACACTGTATATCAGTTCATCTTCTCTGCAATCCCGTATCGCGATGTCCAAAAGCTTGTCGGATTTAGTCGGTAACACGTCAGAACAATGCCTCCTCGGTGCCTGCATCTAAGTACAAGAAATGATAACGTAAGCATCATCTGCAATCATCATAACAGCATGTAAAAGAAAACATATCAGAAGAGGTTAAAAACCAAAGTATGGTACCTACCTGCTTATAGTTAAGGTGTAGTTTCTTGGTGAAAACCCTGATTTCTTCGAGTTTCCTCGTCGGACCCATGAAAAGCGTACAATCTTCGTAAGATTTCTTGTAAACAGTCTCGATTCCATGCTTACTAGAAGATACGTTGTCTAGAAAGAAAATTGTGGGACTCTGGCAAGGATGCGGGTGGAATTTTCTGGTGTTAAATGTGTACACGCCTGCTAATACATTTCCCCATTTCCATTGCCTGAATGTTTCTGGAACGGGGAGAACATCAGGTAAAGATATGTGTATATCGTATACTTGAACGGCATAACCCCAAGAAACCAAAACTGTCCGTGAAAACCGACGATCGTAGCAGACTTTTTGTTGCAAAATTCTCTGACAATCAACATTTGTAGCATGGAGCAAGTGTTGCAGTGCCTTGGTAGTTGACATGTTAGGGAAGATTGGGTCTATATGATCTATGTGATGGAGTGATACCAAGGGTGTCAATGGATGAGCAGCCAACAAACCATATGGATTGCCCCGAATATCGAGCTGGTCAAAATTCAAACACGAACATAAGCATTTAAACAAAGTTCGAACCTAATTCGTACTGCTAAACAAGTTTACAGGAACCAAAATTCAGCAGCAGTTTACGCTTTTAACTGATTCCTACCTGATGAAAGCCGGGTTCGTGTGTCAAGCCAACACCAAGTTCTGTCAAGCAAGAGTAGACCCTGGAATCGCTTCCATAAAGATGAGGATAGCGTCCTATACAGGAATCGAAAACTTTTGCCAAAACTTTAGCCAGAGGATAGCTTATACAAAAGCCTGCTCCACCAAATGCCATCCCGAAGCCGAAAATCCTGTTCTGTTCATAAATCTCCGAGCCAGCCCCGATGTAGTACCAAAGCAGATGATCATATTTGGAAAGTGTCTTTGCTAAGTTCTCTGGAAAGAAAACAGTGTCATCATCCCCAAAAACATACCACCTCACATTAGGATGATTAAGTGCAATGATCTCCGAAACTACACGTGCGACGCGGATCGCCGACCGAAGACCGCCTCTGTAAGTGTAACGAAACCGAGAAGTGTCCTCCGAGATGCATATAGAAGGCGAAGTGATATTTTCACCCATTGAAGTAGCATTAGGAGGCATGCTTTCAAGGAACACACATCCACGCATTTGTTGAGGCTTCCACCATAACTTAACATACTCCTTTCGTTTCGGCCATGATTTCCTATTTGAAGCTATCCCGAACACTATATGCTCCACATTAGTCGGAGTATAAGAATCTGGGTAAGAAGGATATACATGCAGAGGCGGCTTTGAGTTGTCAAGTAACAATACCGATACAACAAGATAAGTGACACAAGCAGAAGATGAGATCAAAATGAAGTTCAGCAGATGGGTAGATTGGGTTTTGGAGATCAACATAAAAGGCTGCATTTTCACCATTGATTATGTTTTTAGTAGCTTAATCAATGGAGTATGCAGGGAACATATATTTAGACAGTTGAAGTATTGGGTCTATAAAGAAGAAGGGAGAAAAACATGGGATAGGTCGCCAAAGAGGCAAAGACAGAATACGTTCAACGTAAGTCTTTGTTTGATAAGTGGTAGTTAGGGTGTCTGTTGATATTAGCCACCAAATTTTATTAACCAATGTGACGTGAAATAATGTGCATCAAAAGTTCAAGATAAAATTAAAAAATATATTCTTCAAGTACCAAATTGATAATGAGACAAATTCAACGACCAATGTAGCATTTTACCCTATAAACATAGTTAACGGGTGGAAAACCATTTGTAAAGGGAAACTAATGAAAGGAAATAGAGCGTGAAGGAGTTTGTTAAACTAATACTTCAAAAAAGAGACTTTAAACAAGTAATTCCACACACACATTGACCCACAATAACAGCTGATTGACAGTACTCAAATCACAAATATCCATATTCAACTACTCAACATCAAAACCTGAGTGATTTTTCTCATCGATTGGATATCGGCTACAAGGCATTAAAAATATAATAAACACTATTTTCTTTTAATGAACACTTCAATTATTTCACAAGACATACAGGTTACAAATACAAGGCGTATGCATTTTTCCATGATGCGTTAACTCATCGGTTTGCACCTTTCTTCACATACCTGATGCCTCCTCTGATCAATTCCAAATGTAATCTCAATTAATTAGGCCAAGCAATTTAACAAAAAGCAGTCACATCCATGGTCACCGTTTATCAAACTCTTCAATGATAAACAAAAGGTCCAAGGTCCGCTTTAGTAATGAATTTCCTCTCCTGAGATTGGGAATGGAGATGATAAGAAAATGGAACCGAGTTATTCAGAAAGCACCTGACTCTAATGATGTCGATAATACAGAAAGCTTATAATTTACTTGGAATCTACAAGATTTCATCGGATGGGAATGTAGGTCTTCCAAGTTAATGGGACACAGAACTTGCTTGTGATCATTACAGTTAAAATGGGAATGGGCAGTTTTCACCTGTACTAAAGGGAAGCCTTTTGCAAATATATGTGGGGGAAAAAAGAGTTGCGAGAAATTTTGAATTTGCAGATAAAGGAGGTTGGATTAAAATCATTCAATTCAACAAATACGCATATAAAGCAACAAAAACTACCTCACAGACACAGTTAACAGCATGAAGTGAGCAAATTGATGTTCCGCATGCTTTGTCCCTGTTTCATTTTTTCCACAACAGCAGTCATCCTTGCAGAAGGATTAACCGTTCATGGAAATCAATTCATCAGCTCCGCATTTTCTAATGTTGATAACCATTAATTCATTATGCAAAGCTGAAATCTCACAGCACTGCCGACGAGGAGCCATCATCTGGAATAGAGACAATAATATGAATGGAGCAGGACTGTGGTCATTAAAATAACATGGCTCAAATTTGAAAATTTCAAAGGTCAAACATCAATTTAGTCATACCTGCTCAATATCAAGCTCTAGCTTCTGTGATACCACTCTGATTTCTTTGAGGTTCTTTATTGCATCACTTCTCAGGCACTTTCCATCAGGACGCCCAGTATAGTTGCTCCAGATAACATCGTTGTCTGATACACCACTTTCTAGGTAATATACTAGTGGTCTTTCACATGAATCTCTCGGATATTCTCTTGTATTGAACATAAAGTTAGCCTCAACTCTCGCACCTCGTTTCCACGAAGAAAAAGTTTTCGGTAGTGAAAGGAGGTCAGGGAGTAGTTGATTGCCCTCATATACCTGAATAGCATAACCCCATGCAACTGAAACGGTCAATGAATTGAAATGATCATAGCAGACAGTTTGCTGCAAAATCCGAGAAGAATCAACATTCACAGCTTTAAAGAAGTGTTCCCAAGCTCTAGTCTTGTCCATGTTAGGGAAGATTGGGTCCATAGCATCCAAATGATGAAGAGACACAAGAGGTGATAATGGGTGCGCTGTAAGCATCCCAAAAACATTACCCCGCATGTCAACCTGGAGAAAATGATTAAATACATAAGCAGAAAGTGAAAGTTTCATTTAAACTAAAATAAATCAATAATTTGCACAACATCTAAGCTGAAATCAATCAAGCAGCAACCTCTAATTAAATCCATGGAAACGACCCAAGCCTCATAAAATCAGTAAAAACTCAAACCAATATGCTACTCATATTTTAGCCTCTTAAAGAATAACCGAATCAGATTTTCTTTCACGATCTTTTTATGCCCAAGTAAGACAATAAACTAGTCCCACAAGTTCAAAGTGATGCATCATGTTAGAATAGAAAGGAACCCATAGCAGCTCAAGGCTCAAACAATAAACAATGCACCTCAATAGAACTTAACAACAGTGCAATTTAAATAAATAAGGCTGGTGACGATTTTCGGTACAAAAATCCAAGGGATCAAGGCATCGGGGCATGATTCAATCAGCAATTGTCTTTGACCACATTATACACTTAAGTTCTTTCAATTAATAGACCAAATAATGTCACAACCCAATCACAAAACTGTGAAAAATGAAGAAAATCCTAAGATCAACATCTTTAGAATCATTAAAATGTTTCAATTACCTGATGGAAGCCAGGTTCATGAATCAAGACTACACCAAGCTCAGCCAAACAAGCCCAAACCCTAGAATCGCTTCCGTACAAGTGACCATACCTCATCAGGCAAGAGTCCAAAACCCTAGCTAAAACCTTTCCCAAGGAGTAACTGATAGCAAACCCTCCCCCACCAAACGCCATGCCAAAAGAGTACTTCACATTTTGCTCGTAACTCTCCGAACTGCTCCCGACGTAGTACCACTTGTCGTGATCGTATTTCGAAAGCACTTTCACCAAATTTTCAACCACGAAGATTGTATCGTCGTCCCCGAACACGAACCACCTGATTCCCGTTTCGTTACGGTCAACCGCTTCTTTTACCACACGCGCCACGCGAATAGCTGAACGGAGACCGCTCTTGAAGGTGTAAGGGAACGACCTAGTATCGCCGGACACTACAACAGGAGGGAGATCAGGGCCGGCGGGAGAGGATAACGGTTGGTCGAGGAAAGCGATGGCGCGGGTGTCGTGTAGATTGTACCAAAGGCGAATGTAGGAGCTCCGGCGGGGGAAAGAGTTGGATGAGGAAGCGATGGAGAAAAGGATGTGATGGCGGCGCGTGGGGGGACGCGGTGAGGTGGGAACGGCGAGTGGGAGAGGTGGCTGGGGGTGGAAGAATACGAGATAAAGGGAAATCAAAAGGGAACATATCAAGAGAAGATCTTTGATCCGAGAGGGACTAAGCCTGAGGAGTTTAAGCATTTTGCTGAAGTAAAAAACCCAAACGAAGCTGATTCTCAAAGAGAAAAATCCTAAGCAATATATTATGGGTGGTTTTTTCTTTTCTTAAATTAAATTATTTTTCGAAACAATTTATCCTTAAATTTTAAATTAAATATTTAGTCACTCAATTATCTTTAAGATTTTATTTTGATCATTCAACCTATTTTAAATATTCACTAAACTTATGTTTTTATTCCATTTTAATCATTCAATTCGATTAGATTTATTTTTTAAAATTTTAATATATAAAAATTCATTTATATCACATTTTTTTACTAGACACATAAATTTAATTTATATTTTTTCCATTTACTTTTCGTACATAAACAGATAATCTTAGGCTAAATCATGAATTTTATAAACCAGGGCTTTCATGTCAGACTGAAACTGATCCATCCTCACTCCCATAGTGCCGCTACGTCAACGTGATTGCACGACATAAGAGTAGTTCCATATTTGCTCAGTTTGGCTAATCTAAGTCTCTTCCAACATCTCAAACTATCACATGCACGGTTTCTCCGGCTATTATCAACACATTATCATCTTGTAATTTCTGAAATGGTGAAAAAAGTTGGAAAACAAAACGTGTAAACTTTGTAGTCTGAAGCTCCAGTGGATATAGGCTCCAAAATGTTATACCGAATAAGGAGATGAAAGAAGGCCACTCATCATTTAGAATATCAAAACTTCATACTAATATTCTCATCTCAAACAACCATATCTGCACATAACCTCTGATATAGACATGATTTCGACCCTTGAGAAATGGACATCAGCTCCTCCGACGTTGACTACATCCTCTTCTTCTACAATAGTTAATTAGTTATAGTATCCTTGTGGTTCACAGTCATATGCTGATCAATTTTAGCTTTAAAAGCTTCAAATTCTGCAATCCATCAAGGGGGAGACAAAAAATGTTTGGAAATAATAGCATCGATGTCTGAGTTGCTGGCAATGGAACTGAACTAGAAGAAGGCATGGTGAAGAGAAGAAGCGAGCCTTGGATCTAGGTTAAGGGTTGATGAAGAGACTGTTGATACTGCTGAAATATTTATATTTTTATTTAATAAAATATTTATGATATTTTAATTTAACATTTAATATTTAAATTTTAAGTATAAATAATTTAATATGTCATTTATTATTTCTGCTATAATATTATTTATTATAAAAATTAAATTTATTTGTCAAGTAAAAAAATATGTGATATAAATAATTCTTATATATTATAAATTTTAAAAATAAATTGAATCAATTTGGTGACCAAAATGAAACAAAAACTAAAATTTAGTGATAATTTTAAAGAAAAATAGTTGAGTGATCAAAACAAAATCATAAAAAAAATTGAGCGACTAAACATGTAATTTACCATTATTGTTTTTGACAGAGCTGAAACTTTAGGGCAGGGTAATGATTTAAACTCTAGAAGATAATACATTCTGAAAAATATTTTAATGAGTAATTCGATACAAATGATATACTTTTGAGGCAACATTACATTTAAACCTTTTGTTTACAAGTGTGATGCTTTTTTGTCATTCTTAATTTAGTCGTTAATTTTAAAAATATAATATTATTAACATTTACGTTATTAATTATTTATATTCTAATTAATAAACAGTTAGTCCTCGATACTTTAACTACGTAACACGTTAATAAAAAAGGTTAATTTCAATTTTAACTATTGTACTTTCAAAACTTTATTTTCCACCCTTTTCAAAAAAAATCTAAATCCTTTTTATCTAAAAAATTATCTTTTAATCTTAACTCTCATCCTTATTGTCGATGTCGCCACCAAAATCATAGATCGTCGATACCACCACAGCAGACTAACCTCTATTTCCAAGTTGGACGAAGGTGGAGTTGATCGGTTTAAAAAATACATATAATGATAGACATAAAGGTAAAAGGTTTAAGAGGGCGTGATAGTGCTGAAATTTGAGTTCTAGACTCAACGAACGATATATCATGAAGAAAGAGGGACACAGTTACGAAAGAAAGGAGTAAAGGGGTCGTTGGTTTTGATACTGGAGATAAAAGGGTTGTGCAAGACATGGTCAAAAATAGGATGCCATTATAGGGATTGGCATGAGACCCGAACCCAACGGGTTCCGATCCGACCCGATCGGGCCGGATTTTTTTTTTAAAATCGGGTTCGGGTCGGGCCTGATCAGTTTTTTTTGATGTGATGTACGGGTCGGATCGGGTTTGAGTTTAAGATGAAAAATACCTGATCCGACTCAACCTGAAAAGTATATAATTATACCTTATATATTTAGGAATAATTATAATAATACCCCTCTATATATTATTTTTTTCAATTAAGTCACTATTTTTATTAAATAAAAATAATATTTTTTTATTATTTCGGGTCGGTTTTTAAGTTATATATCAGGTCGGGGTTCGGGTCGGATGAAATCTTATTTTGGTCAAGTTTTTAAGTCACTGTTTTTATTTGTTTACGTTTAATTTTGTTTGTATTAAGTTTGAGTTCGTTAAAAAATTTAAATTATGTTTATGTTAGTGTTTATTTATGTAAAATTAAACGTGTTCATAGTTTAATGTTGACAAATATTAAATGGACACGTCATCAATATATTTATGAACATATAATTCAATATATTTAAGAATAATAAATAAATTAACCCTAATTGTATATATTTTTTATTTTTAGATTTAAAACAATCATTCAACTATTAGACTAACTTTGAGTGATTAATTTTAAATGATAGGGTGATCAAATAGATAGTTTACCCTCTTATTTAAAATGGTACATTATAAATCTAATCATTGAACTTTATGTTTTCTCATATTTCATTTATTATACTTTGAATTTTTTCAATTTACTCGCTAAACTTTATAGATTGGATTTTTTTGTCACTCCAACGTTAAATAATTAAATTACGTTATTCAATTTATTTTTGAGCTAAACTTATCTGGAATAATCATAAAACTTAAAAAAGTGTCAAGTCAAAAAATAATCTGACAACAACAATAAAACCATATTCCCATATACGATAGGGTAAGGGAGAGGTAGTATAGTAGGCTGCCCCAACGCTAGGTTGAGAGCAGCTTCTTTGGAAGACCTCCGGTAATCAGAAAACTTAAAATAAATATACAATACAATGCATATATAAATAAATATATAAATACATAGTTGAACAGTCTTCTTATACAGTTTTCATATGTACGTCAACCGTGGAAAATTTAAAATAATCTTAGTGCGAGGAAAATGAAACGCCTAGTATCCCCTCCTTTCAACCGTGGAGGTGTGTGATCGGGTCAACTTTCAAGCCGTGCGTTGACCTGCACTTACGGCTGGTGACTATCACTTGGAACGGTCGGTGATGGTATGAGGGTTGGGATTGAGATTAAGTTTTGGGATTAGAGTTTAGTAGTTTAATTTAATTTAATTTAATTTTTTATTTTAAAATCCTATTTGACATTAAATGTTAATATTTTTATTTAATATCAATATGTGGCATATTTAATATTAAAGTATTCCACATCATAGTTAGAGAGAAAACGGTTGAGTGAAAAAAAATTTCAATCTATACAGTTCAGTGAATAAACTGAAAATTTTAAAGTAAAGTGAGTAAAATAGAGGTATAATAAAGTTTAGTGATTAAATTGACAATTTTCCCTATTTAAAATTTAAATTTATCAAATAACTAATTATTGGGTCTTCAGCCCATAAAATTATTGGATTTGGGCATTTGTGTTTTCTTCCCCATGAAAAAGCCGTCCAATTCCCAAGTCTATCTTCTCTTTCTCGTACTCTCTATTGACTAGGTTTCATTTCTTCTTTATTTACAGCTTCGCAATCATCCTCACTTCGATCGTGTATTCTCCCTGTAAATCAAAACCCTCAAAACGACAGTAAGAACATTAATCATTCTGTTAACTGTAGAAATAGTAGTATTACTAGTATCAGCGTTTGTTTCCATCGTTAATAATTTAATTGCAGCTTTCTTCTTCTTCTTCTTTCTTTCTTTCTTTTTATTTTTTTGCACTGCACGATCAACTCAAGTAACAATTATTTATTGTTCATCTCTCAGGATTCTGGAATCACGACGTTCGGCGTTTATTGTTAACTCTATTTTCATTTTCGCCATCTATCTCAAAGATTCGCGGTTATTAGAATATATTGGAACTTCTGTTTAAGATATTTGTTCTCCGATTGTCCTTTATCAAATTAAAAAATGGTGGAAGGGAAGCTTTTCAAAACGAAGTTGTGCGTATTGTATCAGAGGGGACGCTGTTCGCGCCAGAGTTGCTCCTTCGCTCATGGAGATGCTGATCTCCGGGGGTTTTCCGGTTCTTACGGCGGTAGTAGTTTTTTTTTAATTTTTGATTCTGAGCCCCAATTGATCCAACGTTCCCTTTTGGTTGATTATTTTATTTACTTTTATGCCCATCGTGACAATCGTTTAATTGGCTTTTGAATTCGGGTTTTGCGTGCTTGCTTTATACGCCGTGTGAATTTCTTTTAATCCTTCAAATTTAATATAAGTTTCTAGACGTGGTTTGAGAACCTTTGAAGGGCATTGGAATGGAAAATGATAATTGATAACGATGCTAGGTGTTAATAAATTAATTGTCAAGATGTTGCTGGATTCTAGTTTATGTTTGGAGTTTAGACTTCAGAGAACACTGTAACCAACCTTTTATAATGTTTTTTTCCTGCCGACTTAAAAATGTTAGATCTCTTTGAGGAAGGGATACTTCCATAAGGGCACTTAGCTACACACATTGAGATGTTTAAACTTTAAATTTTCTTCATGTTTTTGAATGCTAATGTCAGATGGTAATACTGTAAATTCTATAGGAATAATTTTGTTTAGCTCTATTAAAATGAAGTCCATCTTGTGTCTGCTGTCTGTTGCTGAACTGGTAAAAAATGTTGTTTTTCCCTGCTAGTTCACCGAATCTGTTATTGTTGCTGCCTTCATCGTTTGTTGCTATTAGGTTTGAAGTTATTGTATTGGAAAGGTAGAAC